GTCTCCCTCCAGAGACTTCCATCTACCTGGCAGCCTCTAGTCACTGTGGGATTACGTAGCATTTGCAGGCACAGGTCAGGCTCAGGCCCAGGCCTGCTCTAACCCAGCCCCCTGTTCTGGAAACTGAGCCAGTTCCAAGACCGGAGTGCTTAGCCCTTCCCCATCACCTGAATCTCTAAGCCCGAAGTTAATTCCCTGCCGGATATGCCCTTCCTACTGACTTAGAATTCTATCATTCCACTTCGGAGCCCGCAGCCCTGTAGCCTTCACCCCTTCAAGGACTGGACGCTGTATCCCAGGGCCCAGGACAAAGCCAGATGCTTGCTGTCACAGTTCTCCTACGCCTCCTGCCAGAGGGACCTCCAGGGGCCCCCCTCCCTCTGCCTGCTGGGTCGGCTGCCGATGGATGGCTTCCCACCGGAGGTCCCGAAGGCTAGGGCCCTTATCGCTCCTTCCACTGTTGGTCTCATTCCTGTGGGTCTGTCTGGGCTCAGCTGCTGGGTATTTCTGTTTATGACATTCCTCCCCACCTTAACCTCTTGCTGGCACACACGACTCCACAAAGCCAGCTCTGCAGGTTTGGGATGCCACTAGGCATGCTCTGGAGCTGGAACTCTTCCCAGGGGTCTTATGGATTTAGCTTTTCCGGGGTGACTTGATTATTTTGCCAGTGATCAGGGGCAGGAACCTCAGGAAAAATCCCTAGGCCGACAGCCTCCTGGTGAGGACAAGCTGGACCACAAGGGGGCAGTGTCCACCAAAACTGCTTCACCCTCCCCTTTATATCTGTGGAGGGGACGATGGAGAGTAAAGTTCTTTATGGGAGTAAGTTTCTTTTATGTTAAGTTACATGAAATGAAAAAAGCGTCAGATGAGACGTTCAAGGAGGCTTTTTTGAGGGCGATTTCAGCACTGTCCCATTACTTCATTTAGAATATTCTAGAAGGCCAGCTGGAGGCAGCTCTAATAGCAGGTGCACCACCTGGCTCCACACCCACCTGCTGTAAGGTGGGAGCAAAGGCAACAGGCCTGTATGAAGCAGGGCTTCACTGCCCCCCTCCGTTTTTACATGCAGAGGCTGCACCCCTAAAGGGTTCCAATGACTTGCCAAGGTCTTGGCTTAGCTAATGGCAAAGCTTGGGCCAGGACCCCAGGACCCCTATACTTGGTGCAGAACATTTTCCACTGCACTCTGCTGGGTGACCCAAAAGGAGTTAATCAGAAGTTGTTACTGAGAGCCCCTGAAGCCCAGGAGGGAGGATCTCCATGCCCCCTTCCAGCTCTAACTGATGACAGTCCAGAATTCCATCCTTTAGCCAGCTCTTCATTGGAGTATTCCTCCCATCAGGAGCTCCGACCGGCTAGGGTGTACCAGCACGGGTATTCAGGCTTCATCCCAGGCAGGCTTTGCTTTAACAAGCCCAGTGTATGAACGGCCATTGGATTTACAGATTGGGAGAAAGCAGCTTTATGAAATTATGCACAAAATTCCTTTCAATAGCAAGGAATATTCCCATATCCATCACCCGACTTCCCAACCATTTAAAATAGATTTAAACTTACAAGACTTTGATTTACACCCAACTCTACGAGAGTTCATTTGCTGCTAATTCACCCGCACCAAAGTAGAGGATCCAACAGGAAAGTGGTCAGGAAGTAAGGCCTCTGCTTCTGCTTGGAGGGGGTCAGGACAAAAAGGAGAAGGTGTAGCTCCTTGACCATCTGGTCTGCCTGCCTATGTCACACTCACTAGCCAGAAGGGAGCCACAGTCTGACCAGAGCCATCGGCTAACCTGACCTTCACTGGCGCCCGCTGTGAGCAAGGCCGTGTGCCCCGCCCTCGTGCAGCTGCTGATCCAAGTACAAGCACCAGATCATTTAACACAAAGCAGCCAGAGAGGCACAAAGCACACAGTTTCACAAATTGTAGTAGCTGGGATGGACCCTGAAGGCTGGAGGGACTTTCGGGGTGGAGATAAAGGAGAGAGGGTTTTGTAGGCTGAGAAAACTATCAGCAAAAAGTCAGGAAGGCAGGAGAGCTCGGATGTACCGAGGGAACATCAAGAAGCATCCTCTCTCCAGCTCGACGATATACTCTGTGGAGGTGAGACCTGCACGATGATCCCTGGTATTCCCCTCAGCACCCAGCACACGGTCATGAACCTGGAAGGCGCTTGTGAAATGTTGTTTTGGGTGAAGTCCTCAAAAGGCAGGACCTACCTCCAGGGCACTGAGGCAGGTGTGTTGAAAGGGAACTGAATTCCTAGTACAAACGAATGTTCTGTGTTGTTATCAATGTATATTGCCTCTTAGCTGCAAATCTACCCTTAGCTGCCTGGCTCCTGATGCTGAAGCAAAGCCCTGTAAGCATTTCTCTGCTCAGCTCATGATGGAGAGACATCAGGGGAAGAAGGGGGTTTTCTTCCTGATTCTGGTGCACTTTCCTTTTTCCTTCCACCCACAATGCTAGGCTGGCACATGTAGTGGTCCTCACCTCCAGAGGGTTTCAGGGGCACCATGGGGCACAGCTTGTCCCAACACATTTTCCAGCTGAGGTTTTCTCTAGTGACTTCCTGACAAGTTCAACATCAACTTCTAGGCAGCTTCCCAGTGGGTTTTTTTGGCACTCAAGGAGACAGTTTCCTGCTTGCCAGCCTTGACCTGCTTGACCTTGACTTCAGTGAACTTTTACATGGTTCAGTGGCTCCAGCCACAACCCCTCCAATGGAATATGAATCTCAGCCTCTAAGGGGCTCCTCTCTCAAATGCATTCCTGTACTTGCTGCTAAAATTAGGAACAATGATGCCTATTCTCACCACTTCTCTTCAACATAGTATTGGAAGTCCTAGCCACAGCAATGAGACAAGGAAAAGAAATAAAAGGGACACAAATTGGAAGGGAAGAGGTAAAACTGTGATGCAGATGACAAGATGCTATATATAGAAAACCAATGCATTCCTGTATTATTTATAGTTCTCTTTATCCCTAAGTAGCCAATCCCCTGTCACTAGTTAGTAATTCTTTATAGTCTATCTTCCCTGTTGGAATCTCTGTGTGGTTTCTGTCTCCTGATTAGGCCCTGACTGATACGAGGCTCATTTACATGCCTTAACGGACCTGCGTACGACCTGGAGGGGCTGCCCTCAAGTGGCCCCTTGCTCCCTCCTCAGTCAGATTTGTCCGGAAAATCCTCTGAGCATTTGTGTCACCTCTTTCTCTTGAATACCCTGTCTCCACCAGAGTTCCGTCAGGAAAACAGAAACTGCTCTTAATATTCCCAGCAGGAAGTGATTTAATACAGGGGCTTTGGTGCTTAAGTCCTGGCTTCACTTGATCCTAACTTTGTCACTATGGACAGGTGACAGCCTTTTGAAAACTCAGTTACCACTTCTATGAAGACAAAGATACTAATAACTCATATGATTGCTCTCAAAAATTACATAAAATCATGCTTGAAAAATTCCTAATAACCGGTACATGGTTAGCGCCCAATAATTGTAAGCTATCATTGTTGCTACCATTATAATCCTCTAACTGCTCCAGCACACCTAGGCTGAAGTGTCTCAGAGTCACAACAGTCTGTCACTGAGGCAGCCAGAAAGGTAGGAGGGCATTTCAGCAGTAAGATATCCGTCCCTAGTTGACGTAAAGACAATCGCAGACTAGAGAGGGGTCACAGAGGTGGGGGACGATGTGGAGGTTGGGTATGACCCAGTGCCTTAAAGATGCCTGCCTGTCCTCAACCAGAACAAGTCACACAGCCTAAACTTCCTTCAGCTATGCAGCGCAAACCCTCTCTTCCAAAAATTTAACTGAAAATGTAATATATGCACATTTTTTTTTGGAAAGTTGAAGTGTACAAAATGCAATACAGTTAAGAATGTCTCCCTCCTACCTCCAAATCCCCAATCCCCTCACTCTCCCAATTCAAAGGCAACCATCACAAACCAGTTTCTTATGTGTCCTTCCAGGCAAACTCAAGGCATACACCAGGATAATAAAGATACTTTCATATTTTAATACAGATGAGAGCACTGCTTTTGCTTTCCCACTGAATATATCTTGGAAGGCATTCCATACTTGTGCTGATACATCTACCTTACTTGGTTTTCCTTTACTCTTATTCTTTCAAAAATTTGCATAGTATTCTTGACATAAATATGGCACTATCCGGCTCCCTTCTGGTGGAAATTTAACTTTTTCCCAGTCTTTTGCTATTATAAACAATGTTGTAATAAACATCTAAGTACATACTTACTTCTTTCTTTTTTTTTTTTTTGAGGTGGAAAAATCATTTTATGTCGTATATATATATATGACCGAAACAGTATGCTGTACAGCAGAAATTGATGCAGCATTGTAAACCGACTACACTCCAATAAAAATAAATAAATAAATAAATAAATAATAAATTGTTTAAAAAGCTAAGAAAATGCTAACAAGATAGCTAAAAAAAAATCATCTTGCATCTGAGATTTGGAGCCCCAAAGACCATCCTGATGGTCTAATGTAGAAATGTCAGAGAAGGAGGTGGGAAATCTCAAGGATGGGATGGGAGTCCTAGCTCAACCACTAATGTCTTTTGCCCTCAGATACCAACCACTTCATCTCTCTGTATGACTCAGGTCCCTGCTTGTCAGGAAGCAACAATTATACCTGCTTTAAATTGCCTCATAGGGTATTCTGAGAATCAAATGAGATCATGTAAATGAAAGTCTGTGAGTGCTGTACTAATACGCAAGTCTCTCCAGTTATTTGCCAAACTGATGCTTGACATGTTGCTCTATGAATATACGGTGCCCTTTGTGCTCAATGCCCCTTCTAAAGGGGACTGACCACCCCCACAGCACCCCCCCCCAACCACAGCTCCTGCCTAGGAACAGCCCAAGGCTGCTGTCCACTGTCCTGTATGTCCCTACCTCCCCATCCTTCCATTTCTCCACTGTCGACTGAGCTGGGCTGGGCACCTTCCCAGTCCATGGGCTGCCCAGTGGCTAGAATGAAAAGCTCTGCCCAAATAGAGACAAAGTAGGTCATTCTGATTCCCATCCTTGGAAAAGTCAACTAGGACATCACGAGTGACTAAGACAGGACGAACACAGACTGAATGCACACAGACAGGCAGTGCAGTCAGGGCTGTGAAGGGCTGTTAGAAGCTCAAGACATGAATAAGCTGAAACTGGGAGGAAGCAGAAACGTTGCACAGGCTACAGCTACAAGATAGGGAAAATCACGAGGTGAGAAAGCATGTTGGCTAAAAGTGAGAGGACACAGAGCAGCAGAAACCCCAGAACCAGCCAAGTTACAAGAATGGCAAAGCGTGTGAAGGTACACCAGGTCTGAACGCAGCACAGTCCCCACGGGGCCCAGTCACCCAAATCCCTATTGGGCTCCCATGTGATCCTGTCTCCCTCGCTCCCTCAGATGGCCTTACTGTAACCTCCTTTTCCTGGGCTCAGTGGAGGGAGTGACTCTTTGTGTTGCCAGGAGTGCCAAACCAACCCCAGGCTCATGAGAGCTATCTCCCCAGCCTCCTGCAGAGGCAGGACAGGTGCGTGAGGATCTTTCCTTGGGACAGGGGAAATGAGAGTCCTAGACTGTATTTTGCTTTGGAATATATTGCTTTGCTTAATGAAATAATGCAGCTTTGTGGTGGTCAGCTCCTAGGGAAAGGGCAGGGGTGGAGAAGGACAGAGAGCACAAATGGAGAGACAAATGGACAATAATTTTTAGTCGAGACTGTGCTTATGCTGATCCTTCCCTCTTGCCCAAATCCCAGCCACCCTTCATGTTACCTCTTCCACAGAACCTTCCCCAGTGGCTCCGACCACAGCAACACCAACACTCTTGACAATGATTTGCTTTATGGGCCCTATTTATATTGCCCCATATCCACACTTTTTACCCTGTGTCTTTGCAATTCTTCCCACTAAAGGGATGGAGTACATTTCCCCATACTTTGGCTTTGAGTTTGGCCATGGGACCATCTTATGCTATCTTATGTCATCTCTGTAAGAACCCATCTCTAAATAAAAGTCACATTCTAAGATATAAATTTGGGGGGCACATAATTCAGCCCATAACAGGGTTTTTGGAGCTAATTATGACTCATCTCAAGCCAGGCTGCATTTAAAAGAGGAATCCAAGAGAGTAGATTTCAAGTGGTGGAATTCTAGTTTTCAAAGCAGTCCCTGGTGGGGAGGGGGTGGGTGCAAAGGCCCATCCTGTAGTTCTGAATAATGGCACCTCAGAGGTGTCACACCCTCTGCCAGAGGGGCCCTAGCAACTGGTAGAATGTGGGTTATTATGAGGACAGGGGATTGTGATGGTGGCTGGGCTGTGGAATCTGATGAGGCCAAATGTTACTGCCTCAGAAGATGTCCTTTGGCCCCAACTGGCAGCACTGTGGTTTTTTGGATGGCGTCAGAGGACAGGGAGATGATGGAAGGTCGGGGGGCAGGAGAAAGCTGCCCAAACTTCCCCAAGATGGTGCCTGATGACCCCATGTCGGAAGGGAAGGCAAGGGTCTCTTTGGTAAGGAGGATGCCTCATCTCACTGCCCCAGCCTGTCCCAGCAGGGGGAGGAAGAGGACTCTGGGGACACAGGATAGGAGCTGAGTGCTCTGAGATTCCAGAGAGCTGCTAAGAAGAGCAAGTGACATGCACCCCATCCCCACTGGCACCCAGCTATAACCAGTGACCAGGTAGCCCTCTGTAAGATTGTAAAGGCACTTAAAGGTGGCTTTGGTCTCGCCCATCTACCTCTCCATGTGGGGCCCTTTCCTCCTCCTGCAGATGGGCCTGGGCCCCCCCCCCATGGCCCTAATGTTGGTCCCCAGGTATTTAAGCCTCTCAGTGCAGACCCTGGGTTTCACCCTCCCTCTGTATGCCCCAGAGAACTGGGTGTCTCTGGTCTCAAAGTAGAATGAGGGGTAGGAAGTTACCTCCAGTGATGATTTGAAAATCACCAGGAAGACGACTTCTACTCAACTCCCCAACACCTCCCCCTGCATCTTTAGGGCACCATTCCTCTGTGTCCTTTGCCCTCTCCTTCTTAATTCTCAGGTCCTGATCACTCCACATAAGTGCATTTCTAACAAGAACTCAAGTCCTGATGCTCACAATTCACAACACTCTTTCAAGTACCCCAATGTGTGGTGTCTGGAGCCACCACAGTGCGGTGCGGTGGGGTACCGGCAGCCCCTGGCTGACTTCCCCCATCCTCCCACCCCTTTCCCTCAGGAGGCAGAGTCCCCGAAGCCCGACTCCTCCTACGACTACCTGGAGGAGCTAGAAACTTGTGAGGACGGAGGCTGCCCAGGGCCGCCTAAGTCACTGTCCTCCAAGACTGGCCCCGCCACCACCAAGGGACAGGCGGGCGATGGACCTGAACTCGCGGAGCTGCTCCCTGCCCAAGGCTCGGCGGCGGCTCCAGGGACCCCAGGGCCCGAGAGCAACGCTGAAATGGAGCTGGAGAAGATGCGCATGGAGTTCGAGCTCACGCGGCTCAAGTACGTGCACGAGGAGAACGAGCGCCAGCGGCAGCACGAGGAGGTGATGGAGCAGCTGCAGCAGCAGGGGGCACCCCGCCTGGTAGGTGGCAGGTCCCGCCCTGGAGGTGAAGGGGCCCACCCCTGACCTGCACAGGGAGCCGACCTTACCTGCTTCGCGGCTGCATCCCACCCTACGTCCAGAGACTCGGTGGGAGGGTCTGCTCACTGCTTTAGAGCTTCCATGTGAAGCTGAGATCTAACTCTTTAAGGAGAGTTGACGCCAGGAGGGGTCCCAGACTACTTTGTCCACTCACCTGCCCATGACTTTCCTCCTCAGGGAGAACTCTTTTAACGTTTCCTCTTTAACTCAATTTCCACCACTCTCCATCTGCATCTCTTAAACTGGGACACTGAGGGCTAGCCCCAGAAGCCCCATGGCAGTCTGGTTGGGGATTTTGATAGACCCATCACCTCCTCCCCTCATCAGAGCTGCATTTGCTCTGTTGGCTCGCACTGCCTTGCTGTCAACTAAAACTTAGACCTCTTTTGGCAAGAAATGGACCACTCTCCCCTGATCTAAATGGGCATAAGAAAGCCTGCTTGTGATTAAATGGGATGTGAAGTGCTTAGCACTGTGGCTGGGCCATCAGAAGTACTAAATAATGAAAGATGTTATTGTTTAAAGCAGCACTGTCCGGGCTTTAAAATCAGACAGTCCTAGGTTGAAATCCTGCCTCTACCATGTATATACTGTGTGACGCTGGGCAAATTACTGATCCTCTGAGCCTTGGTTTGCTCATCTAGAAGGCTGTACCTACCTCATAGGGTTGTTGTGAGGATTAAATGAAAGAATGCACGTAAGGCACTTTGCAGTGAGCCTGGCACATTAGGTAAGCACTCAGTAAATATTCCCATTTTTATGTACTCATGCAATTCACTTCTTGACCCAAATGCAACAACTTACGTTCATCACTTTTCAGTTTTATCAGGATGTAATGTATTAGCTATGCTTCCCAGCTCTGAGTCATCCTCAGTTCTGAGAAACTTGCCTTCTGTCTTTATCCAAGTCATTGCTATAATTGTTGAGGAGGATATGACCTAAAGTAAATACCACTAAAAGATCTCCCCACAGGTCAGCAATGTTCCATTAATCAGCACCCTTGAGTTACATTTTCTCCAGCTCACATTTCTCTACCTTGTCCAGAAAAATGTCCTGAGACACACTGTCAGATGGTTTCCCAGAATTAAGATATTACACTATAGCATTTCCCCAACTGACTGGGCCATTTTTCTTTTCCTAAAGAAAATCAGGTTAGTTTTGCATGGTATGTTCTCAATGAACACAAGCTGGCTTCTCAACGATTTTTTTTTCTTGCTCACAAAATACCTGCTTTTTAGTTTGAAAATCCTTCTCCTTGCTGGAGGAGATGAAAATCCTTGGTATTTAGTCCTATCTGCTCTCCGTCTTCTGCTTAAGTTAAAAAATAGACCATCGAAAGTGTTTTGAAAAGTCTAAAAGTTTTCACAAATGCACATTTTGTTATCAAAACCATAAATATCCATTAGCACGCAGACCGCAAATGGTGGCAGGAAGTCCGGGGATCTAGAGCCAGAGCGGGTGTGCAGAGAAACACAAGATCTGTCCAGCCCTCCTCTCGGACCAGAACACTGGGTTTCTTCCCTCTGGTCTTCAACATTCCTTGCTCTTCATTTCAGAGGTGGCATCACTGGAGTCATTTTCTGCCCCACTCAGCTTTATTTAGTTGTCCTCACATTTTATATATTTGGTTCAACAACAGTGTTTCCCAATTCCAGCCTTTAAAAATAGTTTACAGAAGTGTTTTACTTCCTGTGTGTTTACTGAAAAGTGGAGAGTTGACTTGAATTTTAAGCTCCCCGCCACCCTCTGTTTTCTGGGCGGGTGGGAAGAGAGCTGGCATTGTACTGAAAAACACCACTGTGAGTTTCTAGGCAGGTTAGGGCATCGCAGTCCCTGCCATCTGCCTGCTTGCAAAAATGTGACATGAGTTTTAAAGATATTTTAAAAAATGAACCGTGGGTAATGCCTTCTTAACTACAGGTTAGAATAGTGCTATCAGCTCTTCCCTGGCTTAGGGACGATGCTTTCTACAGTTAAAATGGAGGTCTGTTCGACCTGATTTATAGAGATTCTGGAAAAAAGCCACACACAGACAGAATTGGCCAGACAGTTCAAACTGCCTTCCCCCAAGCCCAAGACCCTGAGGGTTTAGGGAGGCCCCATCACCCATCTCTGACTACTTGCCCTCAGGAGACACCAAATCCTGGGCTGAAAGACCACAGCCCGACCCTGTTTGACGTGTGCCAGGAAGGACACAGAGAGACAGGCACAGTCATTTATGCCCAAGGAATCGCCCTCACTCATTGAGCCACCATCCAGAAAACAAGATCGAGTGTCAGGGGAGACTGTCCAGAGAACACTCCTAAGACCCAGCACCCAGATCTGGGGATCTCAGAGTCGGAGGGAGGCTGCCCCCATGCAGGACTCAGAGGCTGCATGGAGTGTACAGAGAAGACGCTGCCAGCCTGACTCAGGAGGGACGGGACCTGGCTCAAGAAGTGAAACTCATGAGTTCCCTCTATGTGCTAGTGACCCTGCTTGGGAATTTTTCCTTTCCTGTCTGGCACTTCCTCCTGGTCATCTTGTGAGGGGGCATGATTACCCTCTCCTTAGGTGGGGAAGACAGCCTGTCCAAGGTCACATTCAGGAAGGGACAGGAGTAGGATGGAAGCCCAGGCCAGCCTAGCACCCAAGCCCCGGTTTCGCCACTTGCACTCTTTTCTCTCTCCCGCAGTTCTCGGGAGGCTTCCAGGACCTCCTGCTCCCCAAGAACCAGTTCGCAATGTTCCTGTACTGCTTCATCTTCATACACATCATCTACGTCACCAAGGAGATGGTCTTCTTCCTCTTCTCCAAGCACTACCTGTTCTGCATCGCGGCCATTTTGCTCTGTTTGATTAAAACTTTATGGTCATACTTCCAAGTGCCTCTGCTCTCTCTGTCACTGGGACCCTCCTCCCCCTACATGTGCCTCCTTCCCATCAGGGCTTGCTGTTAGGAAAGTTTTGATGTCAACCACTTACACCTTAGTGTGAAGAAACATGTTCAAGCCTTGAACTGAGCCTGAGTTCTTTCTATGGATCAAGATGCTTTACTCCCCGAGAGGAGGGCTTTAGATGGTAGCAAGTTAGGGAGGTATCTGTGGGGAGAAGGGGTTTAGAAAGCGCTTCCAGAATCATGGAAGTCACACCATGACTGGGCTGGCTTGGGATCCACCACATCTACTCACTTGCATAGATCTTTCTGAGATGTAGGGAGCTGTGGCAGGCTTGGGGGAAGGCCCCCCACAGATGTCCACGTCCCAGTCCCCAGAGTCTGTAAATATGTTATCTTCCATGGTGAAACAGACTTTGAGGTGTGATTAAACTAAGGGCCTTGACATGAAGAGATAATCCTGGTTTATCCAGATGAGCATGGTGTAATCGCAAGGGTCTTCTAAGATGGAGGCAGGAGGGTGAGAGGCAGGGGAGGAGATATGCGGCCGTGGAAGCAGAGGGTGGAGGGGTCCAGGGCCATGAGCCAAGGGAGGCAGGCAGCCTGTAGAAGCTAGGAAAGCCAAGAAAGGGGGTTCTTCCCCAGAGCCACCAGGAAGAATGCAGCCCTGCCAAACCCATTTTAAACTTCTGACCTCCAGAACTGTAAAAGAATAAATTTGAGTTGCTTTAAGCCACTATGTTTGTAATAATTTATTACAGCAGCAACAGTAACAAGGAATTAATACAGGAGCCAAGACTCCTCGAGCTCTTTCCAGCTCTGCAGACATGCCAGGATGGCATCCCCAGGCCCTTGGCAGGGGCCCATTTAGCAGGGTCTGAGCAGGACTGTACACAGTCAACCATGCAGACTTGGAGCCTGCCCTCAGCAGTTCAAGGAGAGAGATGCCGAAGTTTCAAGGAGCCTGGCACAGGCCTGTCAGATAGCCTTAACACTGAGCAGTGCATGCTTGGTTGAGGCGGGGCAGGGCGAAATCTGGGCCTGCTGTTCTAATGGAAAAGTAGGAAGAGGGAAAAAAAACCCCAACAGACCACACAGCCCAACCCTCAGATCACACACACACACAGAGCAAATAAACAGTTGTCTACAGTAGAAATATACACAATCCTCCAGGTAAACAGGCAACAACCAAAAGGAACAGCCTTTGGCCACTAGAGGGCTCACAGGAGGCACAAAATGAAGCTGCCCAGTGTGTGTAACCAGGGAAAGGGGTTCAACTCCCCCAGGGCCAGCTCCCCTTGACGGTTTCTCTCACGCTGCGCCCCCACCCCCAGCAGGTGGCGGGCTGCCCTGACCCCGCCAGCCCCGCCCAGGAATGATGGCTGGCGCGGGAGACTTTAGGGATTACGCAGCAAACTGAATGAGGCTGGACACAGCTGTGCAATCAGTCAAGTCTTTATGGCCCCCTCCTCTTCCCAGACATAAGTCTCTGCTTTAAGAGGGACAAAAGAGTACGTTTCTGTCTTGTTGGGCCGGCTGAGTGATGCTAAGAGGAACACATGAAAGGACCGCCCTGGGACTCTGCGTCAGTGCATGTTACTATGCCATTTCAGTCCATGGCGGCTTCTCATTCGCCACCCAGTTCAATGCATCCATCCGCGTTTAGAGCTATGTGACGGGTATTTACTTGGAAGTAATAAAACTGTCATTTCTCATTAAACTTTCAAGGGTAGTTAATTTTTTTTTTTTTTTTTTTGTTCGTAGTGTCGTACTTCTCACTACTACTACTTACTTTACGTTAGGTTACGTTCGGTTCGGGTTCGGGTTCGGTTCGGTTACGGGTTAGGGGGT